TCTAGGTCGACTAAGTTCCAGGGGAGTATGAGCATCTCTCAAAATGTCCTGTAACTGTGGTGAGTCACCTGTCCTCTTGAGCAAGGAGGCCATGAAGGCCCCACCAGATGGACCTGAACCAGTGTCCAATCTACAAAGAGGAGGGTCAACACAGAGGAATCATTTCCTCCATGCTTCCAAGTGAAGCCAGCCATGGTCGAGCAGGACCTTTGACTTATGTTCACATAGATGGAACTGGTAAAAGAAAGGAGCCTGGGGCTCCTTCCAAGCCCATGTGACCCCTGAGGAATAGATCCTCAAATAGCCTTAAGAGTAAAAAGAAATTGTTTTATCTGGGCCAACTGTAGGGTCTTAAACATCCAAAAGGATAGTATAACCAAAGATTTATGGGGTCAATATAATTTTTAAGAGTCCATATGTATATTTGAATGTACATAACAGGAAATGATGCCAGACAGGAGACACTTTCCTTTGAATTATTGGCCAAGGTGGTGCAAGAGACTCCCAGACAGTAACCCAGCATAGAACTGGGAAAATGAACAGCAGACCCCAATCTTATCTAAAGGAATATAGACAACTGATTGCTGCTAGATGAGGAACAGCTAATCTTCCTAAAACAAGGATCTCTAGATAGGCTAACTAGATTCAGCAGATGGACAAGTACTGGGAAATGGCTAGGGGGTTCTGACAACACAGTGGACAGTAACAGAGATGACAGAGTATATGGGCTCCAGCGTGTGGGAAGGGGGCTATGGAAGGGTGCCCTTTGGGAAGTGGGTATATAGATGAATGAGATTGTGTGGGCTGTTCTGTATGATATACACATAGAAAAATCAACAAATTTAAAAAAAGACATATTTGAGGAAGAAGCATAAAAATTTACTTCATGTTAAATAGTAGAGGTGATAAACATTACCAGTGAAATCTACCTGATGACTTTATATCCATACTCAGGTGCTAAGGATCTGAGTGTAACTGACTGTGACTAGTAATCATCAGATACATAGAGATTAAAGACATGTGTGCAAACATCTAAGCGTTAGTAGCATTAAAAATGTAGGAGATATTAAAAACGTAGGAAACATATCACCAGGCTCGGTGGCACACGCCTTTAATCCCAGCACTCGAGAGGCAGAAGCAGGCAAATCTCTGTGAGTTCAAGGCCAGCCTAGACTACATAGTGAGTTCCAGGCCAGCTGGGGCTACTGGGAGACCCTGTCTCAAAAAAGACCAAAAAAAAAGTAGGAAACAGCATATTTTAAAATGAAATGAAGATCTTCTTTAAAGGGTAAAAACTCATTTAATTTTATATCTTACTGGGTTTATACTTATTTCAGTATTGTATTAATTCAACTGTGAGCCTAAACATTTATAGCCACTTTTGAAAGAGATGTATCCTAGCTCTGGAGTGTGTTACTGAATATGTTAAAGCTGTAATGAAATACTTCTTCTAATCATGTGGTTATTAAATTAAAAAAAAAATAATAAAAACCATCCCAGGCATGCTCATAGGCCAGCCTGATCTAGGCAACCCCTCATTGAAAGTCTCTTCCCAGACGATTCTAGGTTGTGTCAAGTTAATAATTAAAACTAACCATCACAGACCCTATCGTTAAAAAAAATCAACTGTGCAAGTGACCTTAAGTAAATGAGATGCTTTAATTTAGTATTTTTAGTCTATAACATTCAAATGTTTAGTACTCACTTTTAGCCTTTAGGGATCCCATATAAAATAATATTGAGGAAAAAGTAGCACAATTATTTTAGCCATCCTTTTGAGCCTATATAGGTCTGTTGCTTCATGCCTCATGTTTCAGAGTTTTTGTTTAAAATGGCATGTTCATATCTAGCATCTGATATGAAACAACTAGGTCCTAGTATCTGAAAACCAGTCCCAAGATACCATGAGACTGAAGACTAGGCAGACAGATCCAAATACCAGTCTCTATGACTATTTAGCAAGCACTCTTTATCACTGAGCCATCTCCTCAGCGTCCCTGTCTCCCTCTTAAGGGAAAATGTCAGGTGGCCTCCCTGCTAGTCCCTAGCTGCCTCTTGAAGCTTATAAGACCCTCCTCCCCCAGTTTGGGCCTGTGTAGCACAGAAGGGCATATTTTGGAAATGTGATCATGTCATTTTGGGTAAGTGTCCCATTTGAATGCTGGACAATATGCTGCCTTGAGCCTTGTGGTACTTTTGAACTACTAGTATGAGTGACCCATTTCCTCAAGTCTGTGTCCCTGAAATGCTTTGAGACAGTTTGCAATTTTCTTTTTTAAAAGTTTTAAATAGAATTAACTCCCTCTGTTCAGGAAACTCTGTGGGTGAAAAAAAAGCCTTCTGAATTAAACATGGAAACCCATAAATCTATGACCATTTTTCTTAAACAAAATTTTTTGGAACATTATGGGTGCCAACTATTCTTTTAGATGTTTGCATATGTCTTATTGCATGTCAAAGTCATTGACTTAGTAGGTGATTACTGCTTCAAGGAATAGCTTTATTTTTCTTCAACTAAATATTCAGTGACTGGTAAAAGCACAGTGAGGAACTCTGAGAAAGTGAAAAGACAAAACAAAACAAAACACAACAACAGGAAAAAAATGTACTGTTTTTCATCCTCCGCAGGCGACCTGGCCCTTTTCCTAGGGTGAACACAGACTCCCATTTTCCAGGAAAATGAATGAGAACAGCCATAGCTTTTATTTTTTCCACTGTTTTCCTACACTGCAGTCCAAGTTAATGTGTGTCAATGTCCACGACACTGATGACAACCTTGGTTATGCTGCAAATTATGCAGATATTTTGCTCTTTATGGTGGCAACAATTTATTTGTACTTAAATATTATACGCTGTTAGTATTCAATTTTGGCAAAAGGGGCTTAGTAAAATATTTAGCAGGATATGACCTGATTGTTGGAAAAACAGAAGTGACACTATAGCTAGTTTAGTAAGAATCATTCCTCAGTTTTCTTTAAAAGATAAAATTATGTCTAATGATATGAAACTTTTTCATGACAGCATGATGTTCCTGGTCCAACAGTTCCTATGTTTTGCCTTTATTTTCCGGTAGTAGGAGTGGAGTCAGAACGATCTTTTAAATCTTTTATTGGCGGGACCCTTGGTGACTCATGCAAGATTTGGTCAGATGACCCCTTGAGATTAGCCTCAAAAGCAGTCTCAGAGCCCAGAGTGCTGGGTGTGATCGTAAACGGCCATGCACTAATTACATGGGAAGAAGTTACTCCCTCTAAGACTAATCATTCTTCTAGCTGGATGCATAGTCACAGAGTTCAAGCCATGAATATTTACTGTGCACCTACTTTGCATATCCTGCTATGTTCTGGGGACCCAAAGGGGAGTGGGACAGTGGGACAGGTACCCATGCTTTGGAGACTGGTCACATTTGGGGTGGTACGGCTATAGATGCTCCATTTTGCTTGAGATTACATTTTGCATCAAAGAGAATCACAAAATGAAAACTTATGCAAATAATCCATTCCATCTGTAGTCAACACAAATATGTGTTAGGATGCAATACATGTGTATATAACTTAATTATAGTTTACTAAGCCATTGTGTGATGCAGCGTGGTCTTGAGTGAAGGAAGGGGTGATGAGAATTAGTTAAGATCTTCCCAAGGGAGCCCCCATTGGGGAGCATTATTCAGAACACTGTGCCTAAGTTCTGTTACCATGATGACACTGTTGTTTCTAAAAGTTACTTTCAGTAACGGGGATAGGGCATAAAAATAAACACTCATCAGAACGTTATTCAACAAGGCCTGGGTATGTAGCTCAGTTGCTAGAGTGTTTATCTGACATGTACAAAGCACTGGGTTTGATTCCCAGCACCAGACATGGAAGCAAAATGATCAGGAGTTGAAGGCCAACCTTGTCTACACAGTGAGTCTGAGGCTAGCTTGGGACACATGAGACTCTGTTTCAAGAGAAAAATAAAAGTCCAAAAGTTGAAAATGTGGATATCAGGAGGTCCTCAGGCAAGGGTTCTTAAAGTTTTTCCCCTGTTACCAATTTCATCATCCTAGAAAAATTTATGGCACAGTTGAGGGAATAAAAATAAATGTAGCAAGAGAAATTCACTTCTGGAAATCTTCAGAAAAAAAGCCCTCTCTGTGACAATTTCTGATTGTTTCATCCCTTTCTCATCACTCTAAGGCCACTGAACATTTTCCCACAAGGAGGCCTTCCATATCTCTGATTTGTAGTTTATGAGGATCTTAGGATGAAAAACTTTTCATGTTGCCTGGGACATGTGTTCAATTCATTCCATCATAATCCTATTAATGCACATAATACATCATACTCTGGTATGAGCACTGGGAATATTGCATGCACAGTCTATATAGAATATATAAATCTCTTCTGTTAACTAATACTATTGCTATAAAGGAAACTGAGGCAGGGTACAATGACAGAGTATAACAATTACTGATGGGGAGGCATCCTGTTAAGGTGATATTTTAACAGAGCCTTGGCTGATGTTTTGATTTGATGATAGCATGTACTCATCTCAAGCTGGTGTCTTTGTGTCTTTGTCTTTCTTATATTGCCTTTCTGAGTTGGTAGAAGAGGTACTTTCATAGCCTAGAGGGAGCTTAAAAAGAAAGCAATAGAGAAAGAAAAGAAAAACAAAGAGTAATATTTCTTATATCAGATTGCCCTTCTTTTTAACTCTACACCTATGTTTTGGAGGAATAGAATAATTCTAAGTTTTGTGTTCAGATAACAAATAGTCCATGTCTATGAACTATAGTGCTATTTTTCTTCATGGAATACTCACATGTATCACATAGGTTTTTAACTTATGAATTTAGTGTGCAAAAGGACTCTGATAAATAAAAACTAATGTAACTTTTATTCTAATTGAAAGACCACTTTAAAATTATACATGGATCACTAGCATAGGCAATAACTGAATTTAACATTTGTGAGTTTTGAAGGTGGGTTGTCATGAAAATGTTTTTCATTGTTTCTTAGGTACTGCTCTTAATTGACATTCAAGTCTCTTACATCAACACCAACCATGAAGACTTTATCGGCTTTGCAAAGTACGTGAGATAACTGATTGTTGCATGTATTCCTCCTGCTGTTTAAATGTTAGAACATACTTCATGAATTTAGAGTACAACTCTGCTACAGTCTGTGTCTGACTAATTCTGAGTCTTCCTGCTTGGGAAGTCTGAGCTCCAAGGTTATGGAGCAGGGAAATTTACTATTCTCTTGATAAAGGAAGATGCTGGCTTTATTGTGCAGCATATAAAGTCATACATGTTTTAGAAACTCATTAATTTTGGAAGATGATCTGAAATTTGTACTTGAACTCCTATAGATAAGCAGCAATAAATTAACATTAAAAATTTCTCACATTAATTTGATGTATCAAATATAATTCAGGTGGGTATGGTGGTTTGTGCTGGTAATACTAGCACTTGGGAGGCTAAGGCAGGAGGATTGTTGTGAATTGCATTTCAGGCCAGCTGGAGCCACAGAGTAAGACCCTGTCTCAAAAACCAGTAAGTAAGTAAGTAAGTAAGTAAATAAGTAAGTAAGTAAGTAAATAAGTAAGTAAATTAAAGAAATAAAATAAATAATAAGATCCAAAGTATTAAACTCTTTGAACTTCCCTATACCAGAATGTGGAGGCCTTTGAAAAATGCTTTGCATTTTTAAACTTAGATGCAATCTATTGGGATAAATACTCTCTTTTTAATGAAATATATATGATTCACATATGTTTGTCTCTATATTGCTGTTCTTCATAGATCATGTATGTAAATGGTTTGTTATTCAATGTTGATTATTTATCATGTTATATTTTAAGAGCCTACCTAAATTAATTATTTTTTTCTTGCTTAATTACTTATATTAATTACAAAGAATCTTGATTCTAAGTCCAACATACAAATATACAAAATATTGCCTACTTTTTATTAAACATAAAACAAAACAGCTTATGATAACTTTTAATTGAACTGCATGTTCAAGAAAGGGACAAATAAAAATAAGATGCAACAAAATGTCAAGCTAATCTATTTTATTACACTCTAACTTAGAAGAAACAGATAGACCCTGTGATCTAAACTGAACAGTGGCCTGAGAGATTTATAGGCATATTTAGGTAGAAAGTTCTCAGTTGCCCAACAAAAAATGTCTAATTCTGATCTAGGTTATAGTTGTCATTGGCTGAACTAATGGTTCATATATTTTTCATCTGGTGGCTGTTACTGTTGAGAGATAGATTAGTGTTTGTTGACCATTTCCCTCTGTGTACTATGGGCACATGTCTCAGAATACAGTGATAAATATGTTTCCTTTACTAGCTGTCCATCAGCTGCACTGGCCACTTCTGCCTCTAGGTAGGCATCTGCCAGGTGGGCCTTTCATATAGACCTTCTCCCTCCCTCTCGGTTCTATGACTCCCACCTTATTTCCTTCTGCAAAATCACCCAGATTCTAACATGCATCCCTCTGCTAGGTCTAGAAGGATCTAGAAAGGGGAATATGAGAATTTTTTATAGGTCTCTCTATAGTTAGTGAACCCCAGGTAACTCTCTACTCCCATTTCTATGGGAGAGAAATAAAGACAAAGAAATAATATTTTTGCCTTATAGAAGGCTGTGTCATAACTGACATGTATAAATAAGGTCATGGAAACATTAAAGTTCCATGTTTTTCATTTGTCTTTGAGGAGTTTCAATGATGAACATATCCTTAAGTCATTTGAAATAATGGGGATGCTGCCTGTAATTCTGACTTTTGTGGTTTGTGATGCCACTTGGGTTCATATAAAAATGCAGCTGCTCTGCATGTAAGCTAGATGCAGTGGAAAGGAGGCTTGCAATGCTGCCCCAAGTCAAGGAGAAAGATGGAGCACAAGCCTAATCCCTTTAGAAAGGTTCAAGATCTGAGCATATCATGAAACCACTGTTATAATTTAGATATTACTCCACAGTTTTTTATTTTTCTTTCTGAGACAGGGTCTCATGTAGCTAAGGCTGGCCTCAAACTTCCTATGCAGTCAAAGATGGCCTTTAACTCCTCATCCATCTGCCTCTGCCTTCCCAGTGCTGAGTGTGCAGATGTATGCCACCATGCCCAGCCTTATGCCCACATTCTTGAAACATTCCCTTTATTGAATCTCTCTCACCCTCTCTCTCTTTCTTCCTCCCCCTTCCTTCCTCTCTCCTCCCCTCCCTTTCCCTCCCCTCCTCTCCTCTCCTCTCTCCTTCTTTCCTCCTTCCCCATACATATACACAAATAATAGAATTTGATTTGAATACTAGCTGCAGCACCATTATACATTTTCTGGTGTATGTGGTGTGTGTGTGTGTGTGTGTGTGTGTGTGTGTTAGGGCATATGTGTATATGTGGCAGGCATGTGACTTCATGTGCCCATTCACACACATGGGAAGACCAGAGAAGGATGTTGGTTGTCTTCCTCTGTCATTTTCAACTTTATTCCCTGTAAGTCAGGACCTCTGAACTAGAAGTTCACCACTTCTGCTAGACCGAGTGCAAAAGAGTTCAGAGATCCTCTGCCATCAGCCCCCATCCCCCAAGGCTAAGGTTACAGACACCCTCAGCCATGACTAACTTTTAAAGTGAGTGCTGAGAATTTTCAACTGAAGTCCTCATGTTTTCACAGCAAGCTCTCTTGCCCACTGAACCATCTCCCCAACTCCATCATTCTACTTTTGTGTTAAGATTTATGACTTAAGTATGGTTGCCACTTTAACAAATTTTGGCTGCTAATAGCAGAATTTCCAAAGACAGTTAATTTTTCATTAACATATATCAATTATACATACTAAATGCATTCAGTGTGATATTTCAGTGTATGATAATAGTATGTACTATTCAAATTTAGCCTCCATTTATTCCCTCCCTCATCTTCTAGTAATCCCATCAAAAATAATGTTTTGTGCTGGGAATCAAAGGTAAATGTTCTTTCCATTGTATACTGAGTACATTTCAGTGTGGCATGGGGTAATTACAAAGATGAAGAAATATTCATTTCAAAATCACTTTGAGGGGTTGTGGTATTTTCTGTGCTTTTAAAAATTAAAAAAGTATGGTCGTAGCTATAAATTTAAAGTTGGCAGGAATGCTGTTTCCATCAAGAAAGAAAAGCTGTATTCGAAGACAATTAGGTAAGTATTTCTTAGTTCCAAAGACAGAGTCTAGAATGGAAGAAAATAGGCATTTGCTTTCATGAGAGCTTTAGAGAATTGTGCCAAGAGAATGTACCATCTCCCAGCTCTGTAGGACAGTGAGGTACCTGGTATTTACATGTGGAGTGTTTATAAGAGTGGACTTGGACTTTTTGTCCTAAAATTTTCAAAGAGGAAAACATATGGTAAAATTAGATTAATAGACTACTTAAAGACTCTTTCTATGATAGAATTTATTCTCCATGTTGAATCTGCCTACCTTCCTTTTCCATCTCCCAGTTGTTTACTAAACATGGACCGTAAAATATGTGCCATACGTAACATGCCTATGTTAACTCTGCTGTAGCCTGGTTTTGGAATTCCCTGACTTCTAAAAGCTTGGTATTTCAACTATAATATAGTTTATGAACTAAAAATTCAATATTTCACATGAAAACATCAATTTTCCTCATGACCTAAGGGATATAATTTGTCCTTCTTTCTTGTTGAAAAACACTGACTTATATTTTCTTCCATTGCACACCTAGCTTTTGCTGTTTAAGAAAATAAGAACTGGTCCAGTTGTTCTTTATTCACTTCTCTCCATTCGCAATAATCTTGCTGTTTGTGCAGAAGGACAAACTCCTTAGCTGAAGGTCTTGGGAAGTGAAATTTCAAATTATCATGCCCTTCTGCATTTGTTCTTGAACACAAATTACCTTCTGGGTTACTGAGATTAATGCAGTCTAGTGGTTTAGGAAAAAGAAGGCTGCAGACATGGGCTGTTAAAGACTTATCTCTACTCTTAAAGCTGCAGACCAAGGTCAGCTGATTTTTCAGTCTGCTGAGTGGGTCTCAACACCTGTTTTCTCACAGTTGAAATGATACCATGAGCATATTTCAGTTCTTGTTATGTGAGCACCATGAAATGCTGGGACTTTCATTGTATCTCCTGCCTGATCCCATGGAATGCCTCTGTTGCCCTTTTGAAAGGCAGTGCGTTCTAACCTTGCCACCAAATGCCAAAGCCAGCAGGGCCTCTCCTTTTACATTCTTCTTTCATGTGTCCCTAATACAAAATTAAATTCTATAGCTATGGTGTCCTAGTTCCTAGTCTTTAAACAAGAGTGTCCCCTCTCTTATGAGTATCAGAGAATAACAAACCCTCCTTTTGACTCATATGCAAGTTTAGGAATTAAATGTTCCATCACTGACTGAAATAGTTATCAGGTAGAACTCTGAGTTCGAACAATTTGGAGAGACATCAAGAGAATCATCCATTCAAATGAATTATGCAGTTCAATGTTCCAAGAATAATTTTAAAGAGAAGTAGATTTTCATCCACGAATCTTCTATTTCTAACTTCATCTTCATCCTTAAAATGAATCTTAGTGGATAAACAGTCCTTCTAAGAAGCTTAGGGTAGAGCTAGAGGCATACCATGACTTTGCTACACAGCCTGTATGTCTGAAGAGTTCTCCACTTGTCCTTGGCCTATCTAAGCCCCTTTGATTGATTTAGAGTCTATACACTTTCTTTTCTTCCCATCTTTCTTTTACTTTTCAACATATTAAAGTCTGTTTTTGTTCAGGACAAAATAGTTTGAGAACGAACAGTCCTGAGTCTGTCATTTGACACTACTGTCCACTCATTAAAGAGATTTGGTCCTTTGCTTCAGTGCCTCAGCCCCGGCTTCCTTCCTCTGATTCTTCAGTTACCAACTTTGCCCGAAGGCTCTGAATCTGGACTTCCATTCTGAGATCCTCTTCTTGAACAGCACACTGTGTTCAGCTGCCTCCTGGACATTGTCTTTGTGCATCATAGAGAAGCTTCAATCCCAGCATGTGTAATTCCCACTTCTTCCTGTTCCCACTCTCTGTGGATGGCAACTCCTAGTT